TTATCTGAAATTCCATTGTGAGTGCAACTTTATAGAGCAATATTGGGTTTCATAAAAGAGAGACCAGACGGCTTTGCAGTTATAGTTTCGCAGATTTAATAAAAAAAGTTCTGAAAGTTCTTGTTAGTGTTCCTCTAACTTCTATTCGTAAGTTTGCATGCAAGTCATAAAGGTATATAGATGCATATGATAAAGGACTAGAGGGTAGAGTTGCTAAGTGGGCTGTTAATAAATACAAATCACATTGTCGATTGCCTGTGAACATTGAAAGATTAATAGATTAATAGATTGATAATTTAGTTTTATTTCATCACCTTTGTTAAGAACTTTTAATTTTTTTTTAATTTTTTTGAATTAGACACGTATATACGCATATGAATAAAAAACCAGTTTATTACACAAAAATTCTCATTTTTTATTGGTTGATTGTAGATCACGTGATATAAAATTAGTGCTAAAAATTTGAAACATAATCACGTGATTGTCAAGTATAGGTTTCCTACACCATACTTCTTTTTGTCAGAAGTATTATCATTTTTTACTATATTCCAAACTCATTTTATCCAAGTTTCAGGTCTTGACTTATAAGTTCTCCAAGCCTATTAGATAACTTTTGCACTATTAATTAATCGATATACAACACTTTTCTTAATTTTTTTTGAAGCACTATGACAATAAAATTCAGAGCTTTTTCTGTATATAAAATAAATAATATTATAAATCTCATCAATTTCATTATCTCTTAATTCTGATGATACTCTTTTTTTCACATTCTTTCGTATAGGATTAGAATATGCAAGATGTTTTTTAGTAGATTCTGTAATGTATTTCTTCAGATGATCATTAGCACATTCGATGATATTTTCACAGATAATTATCAAGAAGTCGCATACAGTATAATAAATATGAAATAAGCATCTCTCAACTTTAAATCTCCCATTTTTTTATGATATTTCAATCATTTGAATAAATCCATTTTTAGAAAAGTGTTTTAGGTTATTTTAAGAAGTTTCTTAATGGATAATGAATACGAGAATATTACATTTCTGATGTTTTATCACTATACCTATATTGCAGATTGTTTAACGCCTACATTACTATAGGATTTAAACCAGAATAATTAGTTTTAACTATTTTTATAGTTTATAACTGATCTTAGTGATTTATGTATTAGTTATTTACCGCAAAATCAGAGATATTATCAGGTATCATAACACAGCCGTGACCCTGATGATGTCAGCGATTGAGCAGTAAATAACTATTATATTTTCTGATTACTAATGCTTGTGATAAGAAAATCACATGAATTATATAAGTCACATGTTATTGTGACGTAAATACTGTTTTTATATTATAAATAATTTTTCTTTACATTTCTTAAAAAATGAAATCAAGAAGACCGTAAATTTAATACTGCTTGTGAACTTTTAAATAATTTATGTTTAAAACCTAAAACATCCAAAAATACTGATATTGAAAAGAAAATATTATTTCCTGTACAACAAATTCAAGATTACAATAAGAAACCGTTACAAATTATAAATTTTGAATCACAAGATTTACCAATTAATATGCTTTTCAATAATAGTAGTAAAGAAAAGGTTCTAATATTTAATAAATATCACTTTCAAAATGTTAACTTTTACTTTAAATAATGTATATTTCATAAATGCTTGTAATAATGTAATATTTTAAAAAATGCTTTTTTTATATCAAGCTTATTAAATAAAATATATTAAATATTTTGCGGTACGATTTTCGTTTGATATACAGTGACTTCCATAATTATTGTACTACTTCATTTTTAATTTTTAGATCGTGATACTTAAATAATTATGTGACTATAAAGCTAAAATTTTAAATCAATTTAAAGCCTGTAATCGGGATTTTTAATATATTTAAATTTGAGTATTACTTAATTTGTGACTTTTTAAAAAATTTCTTTATATGCAATTTTTTCGTGATACAATACTTTTGAAATCAAAATTAATATAATAAAGTTATGATTGTGTGACGTGTCTTATACATATAAGTAAATTTAAATCAGTAGATCAATTTGTACGCCTTTTTTTTTGTTTTTTTTTTTAAAAAAAATATATTATGAAGGCGATTTCACTTCACCAAAGGGAATGTATTTTTGCTCTTATCCAAGAAGGTTTACCAAGTTGTACAATTGCTTCTCGTGAAAATATAAGTCATGCTTCTGTAATAAGAATTAAACAAAGAAAAGAAGAAATAGGCAGCTTTGATGTTATTCCAAAACTAGGCCGCCCAAGAATACTTACAGAACGTCATGATAGGAATATAGCCAGGCTTATTAAGTCAGATAAATATACAAATGCTATTCAAATTCAAAAATCTTTAATTTTTAACGAAAATATTGTTATTTCACTAAATACTATTCAACGCTCATTGAAAAGGTAAGGTCTTGTAGCTAGAATTAAAAAAAACCATTGCTGCTAAAGAGACATAGAAAAGCACGAAAAAAATTTGCTCAAAAATATAAGAATTGGACTATAGAAGATTGGCGAAAAGTAGTGTGGTCAGATGAGAGTAAATTCTTAATTTTTGGCTCGGATGGGAGAGAGTGGTGTTGGAAAGATCCAAATTTACCTTTGCAACCACAGCATATTAAACCAACTGTAAAGTTTGGTGGAGGTTCTGTAATGATATGGGGCTGTATGGGTTCGTTTGGCATTGGAAAGTATTGTAAAATTGATGGAAGAATGGATGGAGAGTTATATAGAGAAATTTTGGGAGATGAGTTTTAAGGGACCCTTAGCGCATATGATATGATTTAAATGTAAATGATGTCATTTTCCAACAGGATAATGATCCAAAACATACAGCAAAGAAAACATACGAGTGGTTTGATGACAATAATATTAAAATTTTAGATTGGCCAGTACAATCACTAGATTTAAACCCCATTGAACATTTGTGGAATAAAATTGATCGTTGTTTGCGACAGCTTCCTGATAATATTAATAGTGCAAAAGATTTGTGGAATAAGATACAATTAGTATGGAATCAAATTTATGCAGATTTTTGTTTAAAACTAATTGATACCATGCCACAACGAGTTAAAGATGTATTTAAGGCTAATGGGGATATACGAGATGGTGATAGTTTTGTTAAATAAAAATTAGAGCATAGTTTGTTAAAAAAAAATTTGAAAAATTTATGTTTTTGATTTTATTTTTATATGTGCCAGAAGTATTGTACCATAAAATTTATGGTTATGAAAGAATTTTTTTTTAAAATTATAAATAAAAAGAAATTTGAATTTGAATATATTATAAAAGAAGACTCAGATGATACATTAATTAAATCTGTTAATCGTTCAATCAAATTTTTATTTATTACAATCTAAAAATTACAAACGAAGTGGTACAATAATTATGGAAGTCACTGTAAGTTTCATGATAAATTTGTAAATATAATTCTTGTAATTTTATGGGACTTTTAGGACCGCTTAGGACCGCTTAACACCCCAAATTTTTATTAAAAGCAAAGTTGCGAACGTTTTAACAGGTGGAAAAGTTTTGACAGATGGCAAAACCCATCAAAACCTTCTGATATAAAAATACAATTTTTGAATTTAAAAATTTATTATTTTTGTTTAACGAGATGAGCAAATCGTATATAACAAGATTACTTTCTTTATAATAGCATATATTTACTGTATTTATTATAAAGGATAAGAAAAAAAATTCAAAAAATTTACATATTGAAATTAAATTAATTTATTTTTCATCAAGTCTAGTTACATTATTTATCTCCTATATTTTCTTCACTTAAACTTATGACAGTATTATTATCTTCTTCTTAATTCATTAAACTTTCATATAAAAAATCATCATCTAGAGATTGGAACAAGATTCAAATTTTGGATTTAAAATCCAGATATATCCTTTTTCGAATTTAAATCTGAGCACAAAACCAGTTTCTCATGTAACACTAAGATCGTAATATTATTATGCAAATATAATTTATTAAATTTTAAAAAAAATTTATTTGATCTGAAATAGAGATTCGACTTTCAGAATTAAAATTAAATAAATCCAGATATAAAATAACCCTGATTCCAACCTTTATCATCAACTTCTTCATAAGGTAATTTTTTCTAATTTTTCAATAAATACCATTGCTTTCAAATTGAAGTTTAAAATAAAAAGCAAAAAAAAAAATTTCTTTATATCTGCATTTTGATACAATAAACCTGTTAAATCATAATCATCAAATTCGCAAAATTGTTATCATAATCAAAATTTTAAAGACCCATTGAAACCTATCAAAACTATCAAAATAATTTCTGAAAAGTTTTCGATTTTTGCTAAAATAGGTTAGAGTTTTGCCTTGCAACTATAATTAAAAATAAAATTTTAATAATTTTTAATATTGCAAATCTGAATAGACTTTAGTAATAAAAGAGAAAGTTACTGATAATCAATGTAATGAAAATTAAAATTTTATTAATATATTATTTGTTATCTAATTAATTTACTTATTTGTATTTATTGATAATGGTGATCTGTAAAGTACGGAATAAAATACTACTTAACTATTATAGTAAAAGTAAAAGGATTGTTTATTCGTTATTCATCCTTATTAGGCTAATTTGTTTGTTAAATTTCGTTAAAATTTCACTCTGATAAACTGATCGTTAGCTGGATAAATTTCATGCTAATTCATCTTTGCACAAACAAATATTGCAAATGCCTCTCATTATTGCATTATCGTACAAGAATATATTTAAAAAAAACATTGCATTTAGGATAAATTTTGGCAATTGCATACGCACTTTCTAAAAAAGAATAGGTTATGAGAATGTTTGATATAATTTTCTCATCATTTTTATATATAAATAATCCATTATCTTTGTCGTCTTTCTTCAATTTGATATAAAATATCAAAAAAATTCACGCTAATTAATAAAGAGCAAATTTATTTTATCTAACATACAAACTTAATCAACACCTCTGTATTAATTAAAAAAAATGCAACGCGCAAAAATTCCTAAAGTTATTATTATCAGTGCAGGCTCAGGAGAACTTGCTCTTTACCATGCATTAATAAAGAATAAGGATAAGAAAGAATTTGACGTAAAAATATTCAAGCAAGAATCTAGTCTAAAAGGTAAAAGAGAAATATACAAATTTTTATCTGTTATTGAACTTACTTTTAAAACTTTATCAACATTTATTTAAAATTAGATCAATGGTAAGGGTATCATATCAGGTTAAATACTCATGAAATTCAATCTCTTTTAAATTGCACAACATCCTCGGTTGCTTTAATAAGCTCAAATCATTAAATTATCTTATTGTTAAAATAAATGCTACTCATATGGTAGTAATAAAGTACTTAAGACAGATTTAGATATCACAAAAGAATTAAAACTAAATTATTACTAATAAAAGATAAGAGAATTATATTTAAGGCTAATTGTAAACAGAATCTAGATTAATTGGCAAAATTATTAATGAGATAAAAAGGGGTACGATTCAAAAAAATAATATTTAAAGAAAATCGGTGTTCTTTTTCTTTTCTATTATTATCTTAATAAAATTTACTAATTATTTTAACTTAGCTATTATTATTATTAAGTAAAAAAACTTATTTTAATTTCACTACTACTAGTCAAAATAGTCCAAATCGGCTAAAAATTAAATAGCCAATTTTAGGCTGATTTTGATATTATTTACAGCTGATTTGCCATATTTTCTGATCGGTATAAACAGGTGCCGATAAATTCTAATTGACCCCAATTGGACATGGCCATTCAAAACTTAAATTCAACTATAAATCAGCCTAAAACTGGCCTCAATTCAGCAACAATTCAGATGCCGATAGACGCTGATCGACATGACTATTCAGTCTAAAATTGACCTTAATTCAGCATTATTTGGCATTAATTTGAAACTTAAATAACATAAATCAGCTTAAAATTGACCTCAATTCAGCATCATTCAGCATTAATTCGAAACTTAAATAACATAAATCAGCTTAAAATTGACCTCAATTTAGCATCATTCGGCATCAATTTAGAACTTAAATAACCATAAATCAGCCTATAATTGATCTCAATTCAGCATCATTCGGCATCAATTCGGAATTTAAATAACCATAAATCAGCCTAAAATTGATCTCAATTCAGCATCATTCAGTACCAATTCAGAATTTAAATAACCATAAATTAGCCTAAAATTGGCCTCAGTTTGGTATCAATTCAGTCAAATAAGCATAT